TATGAGAATACACGAGTTTCACCAATATAGGTACATTTCTGATTACACCAGAAATGCGAAGGAAGAACTAAATATAAACTTAAATTTTGTCCAATTCTGAAAGTGATTTGAGCTTTCGAAACGTTAGCTTTGAGTATCTGTTCAATTCATTAGCTCTTTCTTCAATAGGCAAAATTATCAAATACGACAAGTGACAAGTTGCTGATGAATAAAACATTTTTATTTGGAAAATACTTTGAATTTACACAGTAAGAAACTGAACGGAATAAACTAAAAGTTTTCCCTTTCTACACGTGTTTAAAGTCCTCCAATACAATGCTCGTATTCTCCAGATTGTGGAAGGTGAAGATACTCGAGAAAGGTCGATAAAAAATGACTTACGTTCAATATTCTTGCTTCTTGTTATCAAATTTAATAATATTTCTCTCATTCCGAATATTTTCCCCAATGAATTCCATCTTGAAATATTCCTATTTTGAGTTCAGAAAAAGTATAGTACTCTACTCGGCTTTGGCTAACGTCGACAAACTTCATTCTCACGAGTAATGGCCACATTTCTCACTAGTTGAACAGTATGCTATTATCATGTATTATGAAGTACTGTAGGTTTGTATTTTTTTGAATTTGATCATTCTTCAATTATTCTTCAATAATACTTATCTAGAGTAGCTAAAATTTATAAACGGTTTTGACTTTCAAATACAAGAATATAGTATCCAATTAAGCGCTTCATATCTTTAAATTCAAATAAAACAAACTGTGTGAAATATCATCGACATTTTTATTTGTTTGAAAGATCTATTGATGCCATTAAGTGTGGAATATAACATCGTTCAAATGTTCACCACGGCACGTGAAAAAGTCTAACGGGGTCAAATCGCACGATCTCGGTGGCCAGTTCACATCACCTCCACGTGAGGTGACCACACATTATCTAGATTTAAAGAAATCTTGCTCTCCTATATTCATGAAGAAATATTTTTATAAACTGAGAAATATAATTCTCTCAAGTTGAATTTAAATCAATAATTCAAATGGACTGAATAAACGCTTCTTTCAAGTAAAAAAAATATTCCACCAAGATTGTGCATACATTTCAATAGAAATCATCACATTAGCTCAAGAGAAGTAAGTATGAATTCTTTAGTGTGAGCAAAATCAATCTCGAAGCAAAACTTTTTTGGGTTTTGAAAGAATGATATATTAACTAGGGACACTATTTTAATATCTCCGTAGGAGAAATTAATTATTTTCCTCTGAAGAAAAGCATTTTTCATTCGAACGCGTTTATTTGTATAAATCAAATAAACTCATTCACTTCATCAAAGAGGAACTTATGCTTCTGTTTATAAACTTTACCTCTCATACGGATGTCTTTAGTTACTTGCATCCAAAGTATCTCATCTGTAATATGAACAGCTATAAGTGGTAAGGGAAGAAATTAATTAATACATTATCTATTATGATTGGTTTATTTGAAGCAATTGGAAATAATAAATATTATCCTGAAAAAGCATGTGATAAAAAACAAAACGTAATAGAGAACTAAATTGTCTTTGCTGATCTTTGCTTAAATGTCATATTCCAGTCACACACTATTGAGAGATCATACAGTTATAAAAACAACAGAAATAAATATTCAATCCAAAAACATATATAAAAAAAATTGACATATTCTAGACAAATTGCAAACTAACAAATAAAATGAAATCGAAGCCTATAAACAACATTACAACTCAGACAAGAAAATGAATTAATTTATTAGTAATTTTATACAAATAAAGTTTTTGAAGATAGATGCCATTCTGGTAAATAACATTAAAAAAATTAATATCGTCTATCAAGTTCTGCATTCTGCTTTTGTTTATCCACAATTGCCGGAACATCACTTGGATTCTGAAACGAAAGAAGAAATCAGCACATCATCGTTAGCCACTATTTCAAATATCTAGAAAGGCAAAACTATGAAAACAGCTGCAACTTAATCAAAAAAAGTATATCTCTTTTATTTATAAAAAACTGTTCGAGTGTGCGTTTATTCCGTTAACCAACCCAATTGTTGTCCGCATACGAACGACAACCCTCAAAATTTTAAACTTGTCTGAGGTCTTATTGTTTTACATACGATTCCTAGGAAGTTAAAAGATGTTCAAACATTTCTTGATCAGAAATAAATAATCAATTCAAAAGACATAGCTCAATTCCCTTTGAAGTGGGCACAAGTAGAAAAATCACCTTTCAAAATAATCATTTTGGAACCGTTACTCAAAGTGTTGTGTGACTATTATTAGAGAATCAATGGAAAATATAAAATATTTCATTTCAAACAAACAAACAAATACAAACATACTTAAAAGTATGTGATTCGCTATTTAAATAAAAACATTCACTGTTTTCACGTTTTTGGAAATTCTGATTTCTCCTCTGGTGAGTGTGGTAATATTTCCACCTATTTCTTACATTAGGAAATATATTAAATAATTTCAATCTGAGTTGGATATATTCAATTTGTTCTCAATGAATAACATGAAAACATTTTTGAAATAATTACAGAAAGCAAAGACATTTTGGAATTCAACAAACATTTACATATTGAAATCAGAAAGTGGCTGTCATATGTAGGTGCTTTTTACACCTACTGGTGCCTATTTTGGTATTTTTGTATTATAATTCATTGTCGAAACTATAAGTTTATTTTTCTCTTCAAATAGGTGGTAGATTTTGAGATGATATTATATTTTGTTCATAAAAAATAATAATAATGTAATTAACATTTGTAACATTTGTAACATAATTTAATTGTATCTATACCTATTGTTCATAACAAAACTTCTTTTATTGCTATTTGTTCAAAAAAAATCGTATTCAAATTACTTTCAACACTAGTATTGAAAATATTTTTAACACGCTACTTTGTAAACATCATCTTTTAATACTCTTGGCATCCATTAAAAATGCCACTTTTAATGACAGTTGTACAAAAATATCTTTGATGTGTCAATTAGATAAATCCCTCTTTTTTTTCGAAAATGAATACAACTTATCAAATCCTTATTTCAAGAGCAAACAGTACTGCGTCATCAAAACCGAGCAGCGCTAGGCATGTAGATGTAAAGAGGTAGGGATACAGCAATGCTGTTTGTGAACGACAGTTCCTACGCGCATCAAGATGAGATATAGGATTAATTACTTATTATCACAATTTTATGTACTACTAATGGTTGATGCATGTTAATCTGGAAAATGATACCTTCTTGTGTTACTTGTCAGACAGCTGATATATTTTTGTGGTACTCATTTTCTTCAGTTACTTACGAATAAAGCTGCTGTCTGTAGCATATATTTCAAACACCTACTAGAGTACTTTCTATCGCTATCTGATTATCTTGTGTTCTAAGACCACAATCTATTTTATGGCAGTTTTAGTAGGTATGTAAAGTGGCTTGTTGGCGACGTTCATTTCATAACTATATTTTGTTTTATAGGTAGTTAATATGTGAAAATATTGAGGAGAAATTCGTATAATGAAACAGTCACAACTTGAATAACCACAGCACCGAGTTCAAATCATTCATAACACGGTTACGATTGTTTCTAGAGACCCAAATCAAAAAAAATGTTTGAAATATGTTTTTCCGTTAACCAGCTATCGCACCTCTACGAACGACCACCCTCACAAGTCGAAATTTGTGCGAGCTTAGGACTAACGAGGTCTTACCTTTTAACGTGTGATTCCTAACAAAATAAAATCAAAATTAAATAACAATTAGCTACAATGTTAATCCGAGATGAAAGATCAATAAGTAAACACAATGGAAACAAAGACAGCGACACTCAGTTGTCGATACTAGTTAGGTACAGAACCATCGGGTATTAACTGGTTATCACCCGATAATATATGTTAATTCTTTGCAATTTCAGCTTTTTTGTTTAATAAAATTGTTATTTCCGGTTAACCTTTTAAATTTTTTTTCAGGGATTTCAAATCAATTTATATTATATTAGACAATGGAAGTCCGAACTGATGAAATACACCACGAAACATTGTCAACCACCTTCAAACAAACGTTATCATCAGCTAGTTAGGTACATGGTTTGTATTTTAATTCCAAAATATCAATTAATAGGGAATTGCAATAATTTAACCGAAGGTACAAAAATTTGCCTATGAAAGTAAATTATCTGGCGTGTGCTCTTCGGGTTTTGGGTCGCTATAGTTTATATGTATAGTTTTGTTTACCTAATACCTACCCATTTGGCAAATTTCAGAAATCTGGAAAATATAATTAGCAAAACACATGAGTTGATGGTTACCTTAAAATATTTAAATCCAATTAAACATGCTTCACTTTGGAAATGTTATATCAGAGTGATTTCGATTGTTTGGCCACACTCTGAAAACGATTAAATAAAAAATTTGCAAAAATTTCTAGCGCAATATATTATTACGGATGAATTCAAAACAGTGGGTATACCTATCTATATAAGCAAAAATTTGAATGGGAGGCCATGCATGACTGTACCTACTGATATTTTCAACAAAATTGTCTTTTTCGACTGTTTGACCTGCTGAAGCCAGAAGTGCATTTTATACTTAATATGATAATCGAATATGCACAAATCTTTGCCGGTATGCAAATTGTGCAACAAACAAAATTGTCATTTGTTGCAAACTTGATGGACCACTCACTGTATTACCTATTCCAGATCTTCATATTTGTTACTACCTACCAGATACAAATGTAACTAAAGGTGAATGGATATTCGAATTTAAAGAAAAACAGTGAAAAGTTAACTGCTGTCTGCCGAGTAAGTATAATATTTTAATAGCGTAATTCCCATAATTTAAAGAGTTTTCATTCAACTATCGTTCAATACCGACGCATGATTTAATAATGTCCTTAATTTGAATAACACCAGATTAGACAGAAACACCCCCTGTTGACACGCATCACGAGAGGAAAGATTGTCGAACAAATACGATGACAATAATAAAGCAGGCTGGCTATACACAAAACACCCCTAATACATATCTGATTTCACTGTGACAGCTCTATTTGTACCATTTAGCATGACACAGAGCGAAACTCTCACCCCTTGAACAGTCGAATGCTTCGCATTACGAGAAAGACCGTTCATTGGTTGGAGGCCATCCTCGGCTACCAATAGCGCCGCGAAAGGCGGGGCAGGTTATCATTATTGCAGGCAGTTATCACTCACAGCTTTATTTCGTCTTTCACGAACTCTGGTGATGGTTAAAGACTGATTGTGAAGTTAGGGAAAGAATTATCCACGCTGGCTTCTTTGGAGAAGCGTGATAGTGACTTGGATTGGTGCGAGGAAGATTTTACCGAAGAAGATATCAAGATGGTAGAGACTTCGCAACAGAAAAACAATGTTTTGGTGCCGCCGCATTTTTTGGGAAACGTTTTCCTAGGTGAAGGTTTTAAACCAGTGTTCAACAGTAAGTTGAGGGAGGCGTCAGTGGGACCGTCTACTTCTAGTAGTAGTAGTAGTTCGTTATTCACGATTGATAGCATCCTAGCTCCCAGACCGAAACAGATGACTTCCCTACAACGGCCGCTTGTGATGCAGCAACCGTCAGTTCACTTCGGTCATCTTACTGCTGCCAGTGGATTTGGCACTGCTCCAACCGATTTCTTAGGTGAGTGATTACTTTTGAAAACCTATAGTTTTGTTTATACCTATTATATACGACAACCGATACGTCGTGGTGTAAAAATTATTTGGGTTTTCTATTTAGTAGGTAACTAGGTATGTAGCATATCTATATTTCTGTTTACCACTTGGTGGTACCACTTTTCATGATGATCTCTCACCACGTACATCCATCAATATATAGCATATGTTTATAAATATCTGTGTTTTCGTTGTTGGTTATTAAATTGGGAACTGAAATTTAATTTAATCAATCGTCGATATTTTCTGTATAAAATATGTATAAATATAGCTGTTTCGTAGCGAATCCACTACGAAAAAGCTACCCGTTTTTTGAAAAAAGAATGCATAAACGTAGCTCACAGAACGAATATCTAATAAAAGTCTATGTAAATTTATTTAAAACAATAAAGACAAAATTTCGGTATCGGATAGATCAGGAGTATATAAGCTGACTTGTGGCTCTTGCCAAAACTGTATATTGGCCAAACAGGGAGAACATTTTCCGAAAGAGTTAAAGAGAATAGCATCAGTAGTTTTGTAAATAGAGAGACCAATTCAACATTTGCAAACCACCTTTTAGCAGAAGAACATGAGTTCAACATGAATACGATGTATTACATTCGGAAGAGAAAACCTTGTAACTCAATCTTCTAGAACGTTTAGAAATCAATAGATTCAGGATTTCGAGTGATTCATTCAGTGGACAAGTAGAATTTAACAACTCCCTGTTACTAAATATTTTTTCAAATGTAGAAACAGGGACAAAAGCTCGGGTAATTTATTTCATTACAAACTTAGGTAAAAAACAGGTAGGTACTTGAAATGTAGGTACTTAAAATTGTAGGATAAGGTATATTAAGCATTGAATACTTAGAATTAGTAAAGACACGCCCGTTTCTGTAAAATAGTTTGGTGAATATTTCACAATAAAGTGTTTCTTGAATACGTTAGTTATGGATTTTTATCAAGTATCGGCCAATTCCATTATATATGTTATCAAAACATCAGATACATCTTCGTCGAATGATTTGATTAGGTGAAGGTTCTACAACTTCCTCAACTAAATGTTCTAATTTCCACATGTTGGCCTCTTCTTTCATAACATGTTCCATACATTTCGCCATTTTCAAGAACTCCTCGAGGAGTATTTTGACGTTCATTTTGAATGTATTGTTTCTTCATAGAACGAAACCCTTTACTTGAGTCCATAAGGGAGAAGACGCAGAATAATAATATAATATGTCGTTCATGTGCCATCTTGTCGACTACATATTCCGTGAAACGAGCTTCATTTGAAGTAACAAATTCTGTTAGCGATGATCTAGATGTATTTAGTTGCAAGTTGTCAGATATGGAATCTACTTTCTAAAATTATTGTTTTGTCCCCTATTAGGAAATATAAAATGTGTATATGCTTGATACTCATATGAAAAGTTTGTGATGTAATCATTATATTCTGTCAATTCCTGCTCTGTGACTGGGCTTTCTCCTGTAGAGTATTGTATTACAAATAAATAAATATACTATGGACCATACTTCCATCGAATGGTATGTTTTTTGTCTAAGCCACTCAATGATAACCGCTTTTCTCCATATATTAGTCGGTATTCTTTCAACTTTTCAATAATTAACGTACATCATCCATAACAATCACAGAGTCTGGTGGAATGAGGTATTCCATTTGTTTAAAATATTCTTCAAACACATCGCCGATCATAATGTCTTCATGGTAATCACCATACCTAATGTTTTCACCGAAACATCAATGATACGTCCTCAACAATACTTCCAATGCTGGTAATAATCAGTCGCTTTCCTTTTCCAAGAGGCAACGTTAATCTGGTAGACCAACCTTCTGAAAATGCTTGACATGAATGTAATTGTGATGCACTGTTTGGAACCTTTGGTGTAGTAATGAATATTACTGGAGGTTTTCCCCAACACCAAATCGTTATTTTAACAGCTGTGTTTAGATCACCAAGTGATAATCTTCAAGAGGAAGAGCAAACAGTTTGATTTTCCTCTTGAAGATGATCACTTGGTGATTGAAACACGTGTCGAGGTGTTAAAATAACGGTTTGGTGTTGGGAAAAAGTCCAGTAATATTCATGAATGTAATGTTTTTGTCTTGCCAAATCTTTCCAGCGGTATATCCTTAAGCCAAGTTCTGTCCAGATAATAAATCTTTCTATTTTCACGTCGATTGAGAGCAATTTTTTGTTTGTTTTTCCCAGCTGGAATTCAATTTCTTTGAATTTGTCTAAAATGTCTCTACCTATCATTGGAGAGACATTGGTCTTCTTTCAAGGCTCCCATTATTTTGTCGAAGACCAGTATTTCTTTCTCAAAATAAAATGAGTGTACTGTTCTTCTGATTGCAAGTTTGTATAGTTATCATCAACTGGCACAGTTTTTTCGTGATTTTATAGCTCCATTTTTCCTCTCATTCTTGACTTTATGTATCGATGATTTTGAAACCTCCGTCGTTTGCATCAGAGTACCAACGGTATACGAAGAATAATAATATTTTCTTTAAAATACGCAAGGGATCAATCAATAATTCATATTCTTCAAGTAATTAAGTACCTAGTTGATCGGATACTAAATTGGATCGAATTATGTGAGCTGCGCAGGTATGTGATACTTCGAAAAATGCTTTTCATAGAAAGTATTGAAAATTTTAATCAAAATCCGCATTACATCAATAATGCATTAGCTTGTATTCCATATTTTTGTTACTCATCGTATACATACAACTATAAAAAGTCTTTTGACATATGTTATATCAAAATTTACAATATAGATTTTCCAATTGTACATAATGTTTTTAGTAGATACGTCCATTTCATTATCTTTTATATACTTCATTTCGTTATGGTTCATATAACTGCAGAACGAGTTGAATTATTTAAATTAATTGTTACAGAAGAGTACTTCAGTAAAATAACTCAGATATTCATTTTAGTTAGTGAGATGAGACTTTGATGGCTTCTATAGACACACCAAAAATATTTTCTACAATTAGGTGGTCTCCAAATTTCGAAAAATCTTTGAAAAGTGAAACAGTGAAAACCGTGTGAGAAATGAAGCAAGTGTGAACACTTCTTCATCTCCTGGTACCTATCAAGGTTAAGTATTCGTCAGCTGGCAAATGCTTCAAATAGTTAACAATGAAAACTTTCTACTTAGTATATGCTTTTTGACTGATTGCGTTGATGTTTTTGGCCTCTAGCCTTTACCAGGAAGTGGATTCGTCTGTCTCATCTGAAAATCAAACTGGTTATGAAATGTATAGGTAGCTGATTAACGGCAAAACAGATTTTAAACAGATTTTTTTTTCTATGTAGCGCTTACTATCTTCAAATATATAAAAAAAACAAAGTGTGTGAAAGATATTAATTTTTTTTATTTTTTTGAAAGACGTATTACGTATTGATGTCATTTTATGTCCGCCACGGCTTCTCTGGGTGAAGCGCATCCGAAACGTCCAATTTTCTATGACTCTAGCGCAGAAATCAGGCTGAATTCGACCAATAGCATGAGTTATGTTGGCTATGAGAACCGCTGTGATTTTTGTTTTATTCGCATACACCTGCAACTTGAGAAAACCCCGGCACAAGAAAAAGTCTAACAGGGTCAAATCGCACCATCTCGGTGGCCAGTTCACATCACCTCCACGTGAGATGACCATGTCCTCAAATCGCTTGTGCAAAATATACAATGTGGCATGAGCTTTGTGGCATGTCGCGCCGTCCTGGTGAAACCACAAGTGGCTGGTAACCAGATCATTTAATATAGGCCAGTAGAAGTTGGTAATCATTGACCTGTAGTGTTCTCTGTTGACCAGGCAGTGATGGCCGGCCAACGTCGTTCCTAAAGAAATGTGGATCGATGACGCCGCGAGCACAAAGTACACACCAAACAGTGACTTTTTCGGAATACATTGGATGCTCTTGGATCTCATATGGATTGGCATCGTCCAAAATTCGACAATTTTGTTTGTTCACGTACCCATTCATCCAGAAATGGAGCTCATAGCTGAAGATGATTTTTCGATGAAAATTAGTGTCAGTTGCCAATTGCTACAGAGCCCATTCAGCTATCGCACGTCATTGTCTATGGTCGTTTACCTTCAGTTTCTGGGTCAGTTGAATTTTGTACGGGTCCCAAGTCACGACGCAAAATTCGTGAAGTTGTAGTCTGCGAAAGACTGAGTTCTTATGAGCAACACCTCGGATTCCTCTGCACATTCTCACAGACAACGGCGATGTTTTCGGCAGATCTTGCGTTTCGTCAACGTACGAGTGTTGATCGATCGTTTACTGAACCAGTGGGATCAAATTTATCCACCACATTGCAAATAGTCCTCTCGGTAGTACGATTATGGTGGCCGTGAAATGAATGAAGCCCGGTTGTTGTTGAATGCTATATCCGTGTCCATGGTGATTTGGCAAAAGAGACTGAATAAATGAAAACTAATTTGACAGATGTATCTCCAACAAGATGGCCGTTATTTTTTGTCGAAGTACGAAAGTCACATTTGGAACACCCTTTATTCATAATTATTATCCTAATTCATTAATTTGGCAACTAGAAAATAATGTCTAATTGTCACTATGACGAAAACAAATTGATACTATTCCGACAAAAGTTTGCCATACCCAATTATTCATTAAGTACTGGTGAATTTTTGGATGATCATACTTTCCTAGACCTATACGAGTATTAGAAAACGGATTAACGAATAACCTTTACGTTCGATAGATTTGTCGCCACTTGATTTTTGGTGTGGTGAAAAGAAAATTCAATGTGACTCAATACGAATGAACAGAAGATTTATGGAAAAGGTTTTCAAGTGAATAGCGTCATATCACTTCTCATGTTCTCAAAAACTACACAGTTTCCGATTTGGGCACAATACTCATTATTCTATGAAATTCCAATTGGGATAGTTATGTCTATACCACAAGTCAAATCTCTGTT